TCTCTATAAAAAAGGAAATGGATGAATTCTCAATAATTCATGAACTAATAATACATGAATTCTGAAGTTCTAGGCATTTCTTCTATAGATTTTAGCCATGAGAGCTTAAAATCTAGGTCTGGTGCCAATCCTTGAGCCAGCTTTAGTTGTATGTACATTTGAAACAAACAAAAATATAAAGTAGAAAAATAAAGCAGGTTGATAAACCTCTTTAAAGCAGTGTGGTTAGAACAAAAAAGGCAGAAGTCAAGAAGAAACTTCGGTCTGGTCCTGGCACTGCTACTGTAGCTTGGTCACCTGGACTAGCCATTTAATCTTCCAGGGCTCCTTTACTTCACTGATAAAAAGAAAAGGTTGGGGAGGCTGGTCTAGATGCCTCTGAGAACTCCTCCATCTTCAAAAAAATAATCACGATTCTAAATCCTACTCAGTTTTGTTAAATGCATCTCTGTTCAGCAAACTATGGATACTTTTCCTTTGTGAATCTTCGTACCAGATACTATGCAACTACATTAAAGTCAAAGGTGATCTCTTATTAAGAACAAGAGCTAAAAATAAAAAAGATGAATCTTCTGTCTTGGGTACAAAAAAGAGACTAGAAATGAATCAAGAAGAGACTTTTGTTTCAACATTTCTACAGAATATGGATCACTTTACATCTTGTAGTCAGTTTTAAATTCTCTTCCTTGACCAGGAAACTGAAACAAGTAACAATCAGCAAGAAGAACTCCTCCAGTTTTGGGCTGTATCTGAGAGGGAGCTTCATGCCAAGTGCACACAGAACCGTCGCCTCTTCTGCTTGCAGGCCCTGAAACTGCAGGAAAGCATCTCAGGTGTCACCCTGACCTGCCCCATCTTCCAGTGACGGCTGAAGGAGCTCACGGTCCGTGCCACAGAATATTCCACATCAAGAGAAAAGAGGGTGAAGCTAAGCTGGCAAAATGATTTCGATATAATTTTTTAAAGATTTTATTTCTTTGAGAGAAGAGAGAGAGCGCGAGCGGGGAGGGGCCGAGGGGGAGGGAGAAAGAATCTGAAGCAGACTCCAAAATGAGTGCGGAGCCTGACTCCGGCTTGATCCCATGACTGCTGTGAATCACAACCTGAGCCAAAACCAAGAGTGAGACGCTTAACCAACTGCGCCACGCAGGCGCCTCTCAATATAATTTAAGTGAAAAAAGCTAGATACAAAAACTCTACAAATGCTATGGCCACAGCAATATAAGTTCAGTTGATGAAAAGAACATACAACAAAATTTTAATAGTGATTCGTGTCATGTTGTGGGACTATTCCCCCTTTTCTCTGCCTAAATTTTCTGTAATTTTTTTGATATTTAAAATGTTTTAAAATTGACCACTGAAGAAAAAAATGTAAGCAAATCTCATTCTAATTTACATTATTCCCAGCACTTAGTAAAATAACTGATCTTCCTCATTGCTTTTTCTGTTTTTATCTAGAATTTTTCTCAGGTCAGAATTTAAAATATTTTGGCTACCCACATTACACATCTGTTTCTAAATATCTTGGGTAAAGAGCTCAAAAATCAAGCTGGCAGAAATCAGGTCATTTTGTAAGATGTATTTTTCAAACAAAAAGAGGACTTTGGACTGGCTTTCACAAGTTCCCAAACTCCTCCTGGGCAGGATCCGACAGGCAACACTTATTCCCGGTTCCCACTTTCCCCCACCTTCCTTAACCTTAGCAGGCTATCAGCATCCTTTTCTGTGCAGGGCTAGACGGTTAATATCTTCACCTTTACAGGCCATACGGCCTCTGTCGCGGCTACTCAACTGCAACTGTAGAACAAAAGCAGCCACAGATGCGGGGTGCCTGGGTGGCTCAGTGGGGTAAGGTTCCCAACTCTTGGTTTCGGCTCAGGTCATGATGTCAGGGTCATGAGATCCAGCCCCACTTCGGACTCAGAACTCAGTGGGGGGGTTGGCTTGACATTCTCTCCTTCTCCCACTGCGCGCCTCCCTACCTTGCCCCACACGCATGCTCCCTCCCAAATAAATAAATCTTAAAAAAAAAAAAAAAAGCAGCCACAGACGCTACATAAATGAATGAGCGTAGCTGTGTTCCAGTAAAACTATTTTTTACAAAAACAGGCAGTGGGCCAGATTTGGCCTGTGTGCAGTCATTTGCCAACCTGTGGTCTACAGCACACTGGAGAGCATCCATGGGGCTCAGAGGGATGGAGAAAAGACCTGAAGGACTACTTCCTCCTTCTAAGGAATGGCTGTCAAACCTTTTCACAGCCACACCAATCTACCAGAATTCTCTTTGAAAGTGGTACTTATGAATTTTTCCGCCAAAAGTCACAGAATCGGTTCCTCAAATACAGCAGTTCTCAACCACCATACCTATGGAATGATACCTATAGAATGTTTTGCAATTAATTTACTATTAATAATACAGTACTGGTTTTTCAAATGATTTTTTTAAAAACATTTATAAAACAGGAAGCAGTCGATCAGTCTTCTCCCAACACCCAGCCTGGCCCGTACACAATCCTGGGCGTGTCTGCAGCAGCAAAGGGCTCATGTACACACCCTTAGCCTGTGTATGTTTGCATCAGAAGGAGCCTTAGGGGGCGCTGGCTCCAGCCCCTCTCCATCTTAAGATAACCACCCCATTCTCTAGCTGACAACACAAACATGTCAGGTTTGGATCAGTTATAGTCTTACTAATATCCATCAAAGCATACATGAAGTCAAACAAGAGGAAACGGGAGATAGCCAAGAAGGGCAAGAGGAAATGTGATAAGGCCTCCTACAAGCTGAGTAATTTGCTCACATACTCTTCTTTTTATAAATGTCCATTGTCGTTCATCTTAGAAAAACTGGAAAACGCATGAAAGTAAAAAGAAAAATTAAAGCCCCAATACTATCATGAGGCAATAACTATTGTTATCATTTTAGTTCCTTTCGCTCCAAATTATTTTTCTGTGTCTATTAGGGGGGAAAAAAGATGTTTTTGATAAAACTGCTTTTTACTTTCTTCATTATTATGTCATGAGCTCTTCCCTATATTGTTTAATATGGCTCAAAATGTGATTTTTGTAATGTCTATATTAAAAGTCCATCAAATGGATGGACCATATTTTATTTAAATTTCTCCCCTGTTGTCGGGTATATCATCTCCCTATTTTTTAGAATACATTAGAAGTTGAAAATAATCCTGTGGAAACTTATAACACTATTTAAATATAATATTTTCTATTTATGTATTTGACAGCAGATATTCCCTAGAACAGAGTAATATCTGGGGCCCTCCAGATCCAGGCACATCAGAGTGCGTTAGTGACCACAGGAAGAGGCATACAACCCAGGATGAGACATGGGGGCACTGGACCCATGCACAGGAAAACGGGCCATCTGAGTCCTTGCACTTTACCAAAGGCAGGTTAGGTGGTAGAGTCAATCAACGTTGGAACCGTGGCCCACGTGAGATACTGTCTCAAGCCTGAGCCTCGTCTGCTCTCTCTGCAAAACCCTCTGCAAAACAGAGGAAAGCTGTTTTGCCTTGACTGCTATTATTAAAACTGTGTAGGAGAAAGGAGGTTAAAAAGCTTGTGGCCCATGTTTTGTTTATAGCATATAGTAAATTTGTGGGACATTTCCTTTGAAATAGAAGGTCAACTAATTGGTCTTTCTCCCATGGATGCCTGGAGGAGGGCTCTCTGCTGAGTGTTTTCTCTTGCAAGGCATCATGGGCAGAATGTCATAACAAACAGAGGTGGATGTCAGCCTGGCAACATCAACAGCATGGAACGCTTCTACAAGTGGCTGGGGGCTCAGAAACCTCTACAGCCTTTAGCGGTAGGTAGAACCCAAATATATTTCCCTTAATCTAGCTGCCAGTCAGAAAATTCAGACAAATGAATAATCTAGTTCATATAATTTATAATGCTGGAAACCTTCCCTCCTAGAATACATTGTCTGCTCTTAATTAAGCCAAAAGAAGAGGGATATAAGATAACTTAGCGGAGGGAGGGAGTTGTAAGTGTCCTCTCAAGTTACACATAAGAAAAGCTCCAGTTCAGATCCCAGTTTCCATATTGAAAGATATGAGGTAAAAGGAACACATGTGTATTTTAGAAAATATAAAAAACACAGCAAAATTAAGGCTGAGCCAGTCAAGGTAATGCAACAATGTTATTCTTTTACTTAAAGATGGGAAAAGGACATTTCTGATTAAAATTTAAATCTCACATTGTAGGGCGCCTGGGTGGCTCAGTCAGTTAAGCGACTGCCTTCGGCTCAGGTCATGATCCTGGAGTCCCGGGATCGAGTCCCGCATCAGGCTCCCTGCTCGGCGGGGAGTCTGCTTCTCCCTCTGACCCTCCCCCCTCTCATGCGCTCTCTCTCTGTCTCTCATTCTCTCTCTCAAATAAATAAATAAAACTTTAAAAAAAATAAAAAAATAAATCTCACATTGTATTTACCTATGGGATTTTTAGAAATCACTTTTCAAACCTAATTTTCCCAGAATTATCTGGGACATAGTTCACATTTTAAGTGGAATAACAAAAGTAAGCACAAGGTGGTAAGGACAACTTTCTCCACACCAGCCCCACCCCATCTTCTGTACCTTTCTGACAAAAGAGCTGCACACGAACAGAACATGGACTCTTCGCTTTGTGTCTAAGCCACAAGAACTTTGGATATGCAAACAGAAAAGGACCAGCACTACAGGTATGTCTCTCAACACCACCGGAGGAATCAAGTTACATGTGAATTGGTCAAATGTGCACAGAAATCACGGTCACCTCTTACTCCAGACACTGGAAAGAGCTGGAGTCAATGCTTTAGGACAATGGCACCAGGGGGCCAACAAAGCCATGCGAGATAAACACTAAAATGTCAAATCCCACAGAGTTAACAGTCGCAGTATCTGATCACAACCAAGGCCTACAGGCCTGTGTGGAAGTGTCTGTTTTTCAAGGCCTAAGTCAGCTTTACTGGAAAGCGGTGGGGAGGACACAGCACGCACTTACCTTACCAGTGCATCTGGTTTGCTTAGCTGGTTATTAGGAATACAGTTTTCCATTAAGTCCTTGTGTGTACTTGGGCTCTTGCTCGGGCATTTTTGCTTCTTCTCGTTTTTACTAGATGAGGAAGGAATGCTCCCATTTGTGGCGCTATGACTGCGAGGTGAGGAGTTCACAACCCCACTGGCATTTTTGTAATTTTTTGAGGAAGCAGTGCATGAGTCCTCTTTCAAGAGATTTTCTGTACTTCCCACAAGATCATTATTTAATCTTTTACTATTGATATGGTTTTCCATGTACTCAATTTCTTGTATTTTTGAGTCCACAGGTTGTAGGATATTGTTGTTGTTTATTCCAAGGTTGTGTTTTTTGGCATCCCTGTCCTTTTCTTTTCCTTTGTCTCGGTATTCTATCTCTGGCAAGGTTGTGGAGAGCTTTTTGTTGGCTGGGATGCCTCCGTTGTGGTGTATGAGGATCGAGGAGTCCATGTCAGGCAATCCTTTGGCTGCTACAATACCAAAAACAAACCAACAAACAAAAAAACCCACACCGGAATATTTAGTTGTATAAAAACACAGCACAGATTGATTCAACAAACTGCATTATCGACGCTTAGAAACTCACTATATCAATTTACAAACTCATTGAGAAGCAATAACCACACCACATTATGCTAACTTCAAGAAGCAAATCCAGATAAATTTGAGAAGCTGCCCATTTAGGGCGCCTGGGTGGCTCAGTTGGTTAAGCGACTGCCTTCGGCTCAGGTCATGATCCTGGAGTCCCGGGATCGAGTCCCACATCGGGCTCCCTGCTCAGCAGGGAGTCTGCTTCTCCCTCTGACCCTCTTCCCTCTCGTGCTCTCTATCTCTCATTCTCTCTCTCTCAAAAAAAAAAAAAAAAGAAGCTGCCCATGTAGAAAACCACCATCATTTATAAACACCAAGCCATTATAGTTTGGGCCTTGAAAAGAAGATGAGGCTTTTATAATTAAATCATTCTTCTCAGTCAAATCAAACTTGTCTATCACTGGGATGAAGAAAGAGCACACAGGCAGGTCAGACTCTTAAGTGGCCATATTTTAAGAGATGCTAACCAACCTGTTAATAACTTTACTGAAAAAACAGCAATTAAATGAAACAAAAGAAGAGGTGTGATGTTAGGATATAGGGCATTATCCTTTTCTTGACTCTAGCATTAAGGTAATAAGAAGTCTGTGTCCTTTACTAGACCACTCGAAAAGAATTTTCTGTATGAGGTCTACACAGTCCAGTTTGTCCAAGTCTACTGGAAGAGATTTTTGCACCATACCAGAGAATAAGATTTTGGTACATATCAACTAAAAACATGACTCCAAACTTCCAACCCTCAAATCAAAGAAAACTGATACTGCTGTCAATTCATCTACTGAATTGGATATATGCTCATTAGAGAGATCCTGTTAGAAAAAGTTCACTTGAAGATCCACATTGCATTATATGAGCCATTTAAAATGGGACCTACCTACCTTTGCTTTATTCAGAAGAATTTTAACTTATAAAACAATTGTTTCTGTCTACGTCTCGATCTCGCTTATACTTTGGTTCTTGGCTTGCCTCAACTATAACCTCACAGAGTTATATATACATTGCTACTGAGAATAAATATTTTAAAATGTTTATAACATAAAATATTGAAATATAAAACAAGCTATAAAAATAAAATATATACAAATAATAAAATAAAATAAACATAGTAAAAGCACATGGTCTTCAGATACTAGGTAGAAAACCCCCACACGCTATATTTCATGACCAAACAAAGTAATGGCCCTGAAAGGGAACACCAGAAAACAGGAAAATCCTTGGTCATCTTCCAAAGTCCTACCAACATTGCCAGGGGAAAAAAAAATTCTACCGATAAACAAAATGATGACTAATCTACCGAGCCAACACAACTTCAGGGTCAAGACCTACCTTCCTCGGCCTCTTTTTCTTGCTTCTGTAGCATCTGCTGCTCTGGGGGGAGAGCTTGTTGAAGAAGCTGCATGTAAAATTCGTTCTCTTTTTGCACTTCCTTCTGCTTCCTTAACCGCATTTTGTAGCTTACATAACTTTTGAAGCCAAAGCCCAAAGTCACCACAGGGTACCCAATGCTAGAAAGAAGAAAATCTAGCCAGTTACTGCCAGTAAAAAACAAACAACACATGCATCAAGCACATGAGGACATCTAGGACTGAAATTAAGAAATAAGTTCTAGATGATGATGGTATTAGAGCACTTAGTAAACACATAAATATATGTGTTTATGTCTGCTGTGGAAACGAGAGGCAGCCGGCACACAGAACACACCCCCAGGGAGCAGCAGGACTGCTAGACCATTAGAGGCTGCCCACCAGACTCTCTCATTCTTCAAACCAACTCAAGAACTTAACCCAGTGACTGCTGGATATAGTGGCTAATGTCTTTGATTAACACCGAAGTCCCTTGTGCATTATTAGAACTTGGGCATCTGTATGCTTTTAAGAACTAACAGGGTGGAGATTTTATGAGTGGGTATAAGTAAACACTGTAAGTGTTAGAAAATCAAAACGGACACATATTCATTTTTAATACCACAGCCAGGGTCAAATTCAGGTGACTACTTTATTCTTGCTGCCTGAGGGGTAACGTCAACCAGCTGTTCCTGAAAAATCAGTTCATAAATACTCTGTCATACATAAATTCAAGAATCATTTAAATGATTGATATTATCAGTGCCAATATTTGTTTTATACTACCAAGTTAAACCAGCTGCACTTATAACTCTAACCTCTGGGATAAAAAGTTGAAATACTTTCATTCAACTCATCAGTCTGTCTAGTATCATTTCAAAGCCTCTGCAAACACTGTCAAAACTCGTATTAAGCTTCATTAACATTCAAACTTATAAATTATAATTAGTTTAAATGTGATCTCACTACAAATTTAAAGTGACAAGTTTTATTGACCAAGTTTATTTAATTCATTTGCTTGTGAAAAGACTTTACTGGAGAATATATCTTTTCAGTTGATACCTGTTCATTTTTATTTTGCTAAATATTAGCAAAAATTAAGTCAGTTCATTTAAGCTTCATGAAACAGCCATACATTTCACCAAGGCATTTTAGAATCATTATCTGATTATAATAAAAATAGATAACATTTATCAGACATCTTTGTGCTTGAAATTAAGTTAAATACTTTACATATATCCCCACATTTCCTCTTTCCCATGACCCCACAAGACAGGTCCCTAATACACAGGTGAGACAGCTCAGGCTTAGAGAGGGTGACAGGCCCAAGGCAACAATGCTATTGGGGGAAAGAGCTGGGGTTCAAACACTCATCTGCCTGAATAGAGGGCTCATGCTCTTTACCACTATGTTATGTTGTCTTCTAGGTTCATGTAAAATCTCTAAAAAAAAATTTATAATTGAACTTACCATTCTACATTGAACTGAATTACAGATTAAGAATACACATAATACTCACCAGTGAGCAGCAAACGGACGACAAAGGTCTACATGAAAATTTTTGAGATCTTTAAATCTAATTGCTGCTTCAATATAAACAAAGAGTATCCAGAGGGACACTGTGGGCAAACACACTCCCCTTTCTGTGGGAAAGCAGCAGAGAGACAAGCATCAGTGATACATTAAACTAACGGAACAGATGGGTTGTTTGGGAGACTAGTTCAACTACAGTAACTTTCTTATTTTTTTTTTTGAGTATAGTTGACACACAATGTTACATTAGACATAGTGATTCAACCTCCCTATATATTATGTTGTGCTCACCACCACAAGTGTAGTTACCATCTGTCACCAAACAACCCTATTACAATATCACTGACTATATTCCTTATGCTGTGCCTTTTACTCCCGTGACTTACTCATTCCATAACTGGAATCCTGTACCTCCCACTCCCCTTCACCCATGTTGCCCCTCCCCCCATGCTCCTTCCCTCTGGCAACCATCACTTTGTTCTCTCAACTACAGTTACTTTCATTAAGACTTCAAACTAATTAAAAAGCAATATGATTCAGGGGCACATGGGTAGCTCAGTCAGTTAAGTGTCCGACTCTTGATTTTGGCTCAGGTAATGATCTCAGGGCCGTGAGATCAAACCCCATGTCGGGCTCTGCGCTCAGCAGAGTGTCTGGTTGAGATTCTCTCTCCCTCTCCCTCTACCCCCCTCCCCACACTCTAGCTCATGCTCTCTCTCTCTCAAAATAAATAAATATACCTTTAAAAATAAAAAGGAATATGATCCAAACTGAAAGCTTTTATATGACAGAAGATGCGATGGAATCATAGACAAAAATAAAAGACATTCTGGCAAAAAATATTTACAATATGTAAAAGAAAGGAGTCACAGCCCTACCATACAAAGAGCGCCTACAAATGAATAAAAAGACAACTGAAGAAAAGAATTTGCAAATTATAAAAGAAAAATACAGATGGCTAAAAAACATATGAAAAGATGCTCAACTTCACCACTGATTAGGGAGATACAAATGTTTCAAAAATGAGATTCCATTTTTTTTAACCTATCAGATAAGCAAAATTTAAAAGACAGGTAATATAGGGAGGGTAAGGCAAAGGGGTCATTCTCATACTTGGCCAAAATATAAATTGGGGCAACATTTTTAGAAGACAGTTTGTCAGTATAATTAAATTTAAAATATACATTTGACCCAGAAATTCCAATTCCAGGAATCTACCCTATAGAAATATAAAAAAAAGGCCCTGGAATAAATGTGTAAGAATATTCACTATATTATTATTTGCAATAGCAAAAAATGTAGAATTATTTTAAATGTGTATCAACAGAGAACTGTTTATGATAAATCTGTATAATAAAATATGATGCAGCATTTCAAAAGAATGATCTGTGCTAACACGTAAAAAAAATAAATTCTGAAGAATGAGTTATTGCACAAAGAAATGTTTCTGACATTTAAGTTCTGTTCTACAATTTTTTTTTAAAGATTTTATTTATTCATTTGAGAGAGAGAGACAGAGAGAGTACAAGCAGGGGGAGAGGCAGAGGGAGAGGGAGAAGCAGACTCCCCGCTGACCCAGGAGACAGACAGAGAGACGAGGGGCTCAATCCCAGGACCTGGAGACCATGACCTGAGCCAAAGGCAGACACTTAACCATCTGAGCCACCCAGGCACCCCTGTTCTACAAATTTTTTTTCTTAACTACAAGCTTGTATTTCTTTTATAATTAAAAACAGTTTTTGGGAGTGCCCAGGTGGTTCGGTCGGTTAAGCATCTGCCTTTGGCTCAGGTCATGATCCCAGGGTCCTGGGATCGAGCCCTACATCGGGCTCCCTGCTCAGTGGGGAGCCTGCTTCTCTCTCTGCCTGCTGCTCCCCCTGCTTGTGCGCGCGCTCTCTCTCTCTCTGACAAATAACTAAAATCTTTTTAAAAAAATAAATAAAATATAAAAACAATTTTCAAGGGAGTAAAAAGCAACTTGCAATAGAATAAGATACAAATAATGAGGTAATTTTCATTGATTTTTAGAATCAAAATCTGCAGGCTGGGTCTACCTATGTCAGGACATGATTAATAATGGGATTTTTTTTTTTTTTAATGAAGATGGACTACATAGGCATGAGGTCCAATAACTCTGGAAAGACCTCCTTTGAGACTATTTAAGGCAAGCGAGTTATAGAAGAGAGAATAGTCAGGGGAGGGAAATCAGTGATCTGAAGGACTAGCTTTTTATTAAGGATCTTTGGGATGAAACAAAAGAAAAATCATAGCATCTTGGAACTACAAAGATCATTTAGTCCAACCTCCTTATCATACTGAAGAGTAAAGTAAGGCCAGAGTTTATACAAATTGGGTCCAAGTTCACAGAGATAATCCTGAGTCTGCTCCTAAGGAGAACTTAAATCCCCTTAGACCTAGTCCGTGCAGTAAGAAAACGCTAAAAGCTCTGTGAAGGCAGCGAATGGCCTCAACCATTCTTATAGATTTAACATACAAAAAAAGGGGCATTTTCACAGTGTACGAAGACAAATAGCAACTCTTAGGATAATGCATTTTCAAATTCATTGCAAAATGCATTTTCAAAAATTTATATTCTCTAACTCCCTATATTAATTTCTGAAGTTATCATGTACATAATAAGCACATTACAGAAAAAATTAGAAATTTTTGGACAAAATACCTGTATTTTCTATACTTATCAAATAACAAAATCACGTTGAAAATATTTTTGAGCAAGTGAGTCATGTTGTACATACAGTTTTGTATTCTGTTTTTTTCCCTCTTAACAGCAAGGAAGTTTATGATATAATCATTCTTTTGTGGCAATATATAATTGCATCAACGATTCCTAATAAACTTAAGAATTTTAAATTTTAACAAATGATAAGAGAAATTATTCCCAAGTTATATTAACTGTACTTAGATCTCTTCGGCCCAATAAGAACACAAAGTTTGCATTGTTTTGTTTATTTGAATATTAATCATTCCAATTAAAACATACTGGGGCGCCTGGGTGGCTCAGATGGTTAAGCGTCTGCCTTCGGCTCAGGTCATGATCCCAGGGTCCTGGGATGGAGTCCCGCATCAGGCTCCCTGCTCCTTGGGAGCCTGCTTCTCCCTCTGCTTCTCCCTCTCTCTCTCTCTCTCTCCCTCTCTCTCTCTCCCTCTGTCTCTCATGAATAAATAAATAAAATCTTTATAAAAAAAAACATACTTCACAACTTAGCTATTCCAACATTTCTGAGCCTAGGGCTAAAGAGAGGCCACTATCACTTATGATATTAGCTTCACTGCTGCCCTGTGGGTTACCCACTGAACTCATTCCCAGTAGGTTCTGTTAATAGTTATAGGAGTTGTTGTTTCCAAACTACTAAGACATTATTAAAGTAATTTAGGAAATCATTATAGCTCATCAGAGTCATGGATTGTTAAGCTGGAAGGCTCCCCTAAACATTATCTAGATTATTCCACCATCTTATGACAAAGAAGAAACTGATGGGGTGCCTGGGTGGCTCAGTAGGTTAGGCAGCCGACTCTTTATTTGGGCTCAGGTCATGATCTCAGGGTTGTGGGATCCAGCCCCATGTCAGGCTCCTTGCTCAGCAGGGAGTCTGCTGGAGATCCTCTCTCTCCCTCTGCTCCTTCCCCCCAAATAAATAAGTAAATCTTCAAAAAAAAGAAGAAACTGAGACCTAGACAGAATGACAAGTGTAAATGGCAACTCACTTGAAACTAAGACCCAGGACAAGAAAATACAAGGAAAAACTAAAGTATGAAAAAATCACTTTAATTAGAGGAAAGGAGACTCAGGAACTGTCATGTTAGCTTTAGGAAGAAGGGAGAGGACTGTGTGGCTCCACTCTAGTCAGAACATACCAGAAACAGCACATTTTGGTGAAGAGAACCACTAAAGAACTAGGGAGATCAGGATGGTGAAAGTGCTTCAAATAACATACAAGGAAAAGCTGATGAAACCAGGGATGTTGTGCCTACAGACAAAAAGGCCTGGGAGGATATGACAGTGTCTTTAAATCTCTACAAAAATGTTAACCATGGATGGGAGACCATACTCCTTTCGTGTGGCTCTAATGCAGGCATGCAGTGTTGGGGCTTGAGGGGATGGTCTGCAGACCCCTTGAATCTGAAGGCAAAGTGTTGTACACTTCCCTATGCTTGTGGGGGAAAGCCTCCTTATATCCTCTAAGAGATAAACAAGCCCCAAAACAGTCAAAATGTACTGGGTCAAAAGTGTAAGGAGGAAAATTCTGGCTCAGTATCAGGAAGAACTTTCTATTACAGCTGCCCCAAAAGCTGAGTTCCTTGTCACTGTGGCCTTTCAATCAGAGACTAAACCACTATGTGTCAGGGATGCTGTGGGGATTCTTATACCAAATAAGGGTTCAACAAAATGACCTCAAACATTCCTTTCAAAGCTGAAACTCCAGGAACATTTTTCCTATGTGGAACATCACTGTCTACGAGTCTACCTAAACTTCAAGTTAAAAAAAAAAAAAAAAAAACTTCATAATGAGAATTGGTCATTGAAATGCCTACAATTGAGATGTCAAATCATAAAGGCTTAAACTTTTCATTTAATAATGAAAAAAATATAAAATATATTTTAGAGGTATAATCTATTAGGAAAAGGCCACTTAAAAATGTCCACATGGGGGGCACCTGGGTGGCTCAGTTGGTTGGGCCTCTGCCTTTGGCTCAAGTCATGATCCTGGAGTCCGGGGATCAGCCCCCGTGTTGGGCTTCCTGCTCAGTGGGGAGTCTGCTTCTCCCTCTGACTCTGCCCCCTCTCATACTCTCTCTCCACTCTATCTCTCAAATAAATAAATAAAATCTTTAAAAAAGAAAAAATGTCCACATGAGCACCTGGGTGGCTCAGTCGGTTAAGTGTCTGCCTTCGGCTCAGGTCATGATCCCAGGGTCCTGGGATTAAGTCCCGCATCAGGCTCCCTGCTCAGCGGGGAGTTTTAGTCTCCCTCTGCCCCTCCCCCCACCCCGCTCGTGCTCGCTCTCTCTCTCTCTCCCGTGTGTGCATGCGCACGCAAAAATAAATAAATAAATCTTAAAAAAAATGTCCAAATTAAACTCAACACTAAATAATGTAGTCAAAGAAATCATTACATTAAAAAAGTTTGAATCTAAGATTTCTATCCATCTAAGAAGCCATTAAGACTTACCTGTGTGCCATACGTACTGAACCCATACATATGTGCTAGCAGCAAAAAAAAGCCATTGTATGGGGATGAACAGCAGACATATTATATTTGATGTGAAAGCTACACAAACAAAAAATACTGAGAAGGCCTAAAGGAAAAAACAAAACAAAATTAAAAACTCATCTTAGAACCTGTTATTTCAAACAGATTATTAAAAGCATGTTGAACAAAATCTCTGAAACTGCCATGCAAGAACTAAAGAGCAAGTGACAACAGGGAATTTTAAACATATAAAACCCACTATGTAAAAAGTAGAGGTTAATTCAATATTAAAAAGTAATCCTATTTATGTCCTCAAATCAAGAAGAACTGGACCAGAACAAGCTGAGTTGGGTCCCAATGAGTTCATTTGGACTCAAAGTGGATTACCTAAAACTAGAATTCTAACACAGAAAAGGCTCCTCTCTCCCCTTAAAACATTCCTAAAGAGCCTCATTCTTGAAGAACCGGCTGTTGGAGCACAAATGAACCATGATAGTAAGAATTATGCTGATGTTAAGGATTTAAATAATGCAGCCTTTCTCTGGACACACCACTAGGTATTCTCAAGAGGACATGAGCCCAAAGCCATGTTTTTGAGGCTCCGGATTTCTGAGTGGAAGAGTTCCAGGTATAAGGTGTAGCCACAGGACACAAGAGAACTGCAGATCAACCAGGGGAACAAGCCCAGGCCAATGCCCCTGCTCTAACCCAGTAGTTTTCAAAACATAGTCTGGGGATTCCCAGCGTCGGTGGGGGGTGTGGAGGGTGTCTCTGAGATCCTTTCAGTGGGTCTTCCAGGTCAACACCATTTTCCTAACAATATTAAGATGGCATCTGCCTTTTTCATGCTCATTCACTTAGGACTAAGGTAGCTTTTTCGAGAAGCTACATGATATGTGATATTGCAATCCACTGAGTTCAGACGCAGATATGAAAATGCAGCTGCCTTCCATTAAGCCAAACATTAAAAACATTTGCAAAAATGTAGTCAATCTTCTAATTGTTTTGTTTTGGAAAATATAGTTATTTTTCATTAAAAAATGTAATTTACATTAACATGTAATGGGCTTGTTATTATTTTTAAGTGAATTAATAAGCATTTAAATTTGTTTTCAGTTTTGATTTCTAATATAGTAAATATGGATAGATCTAACCCAGATAAACAAAAGCTCCACGGAATCCTCAATAGTTTTTAAGAATTTAACAGGGCCCTGAGACCACAAAGTTTGAGAACCACTGCTCTAACTCTATCCCAATCACTAACATGGTGATAGGGCTCCAGAAATACTTCAAAGTAGGACTGGGTAATTATTGCTTCCTTCACTACTCTGTTTCCCTCCCAAGGTCTTTGTCCCTCCCCTTCTTTTCACTGGAATGGTAGAGAAGGGTGGGCAAGGTATAATGATTTGATAGCGGGTATTTTTTATCATCAGTTACTGAAGATTTTCTTAGAAAAGTAAACCCCTTATATTTGAAAAACATATTAATAAACATACCAGTCCCTGGTATCTGAAGGAATCATAGACGCTCCTGATGAAAAGCCAAAACGGCCACAGGTATTCAAATCTGAACTCCAGGACAAAATCTGCCAGGAGGACAAGTGCCCACACTACCAGGAATTTCAGGTATAAAAATGTACTGCAAAGCATAAAAATAAAGAATTAATTCAAGGTCATTGGTGAGGCACTAGAAAAAGAAAATGCACTGTTTTCGTTAAGAGACAAAAATATCGGGCGCCTGGGTGGCTCAGATGGTTGGGCGTCTGCCTTCGGCTCAGGTCATGGTCCCAGGGCCCTGGGATTGAGTCCCGCGTCAGGCTCCCTGCTCCTTGGGAGCCTGCTTCTCCCTCTGCCCCCCTCTCTCTCTCTCTCTCTCTCTCTCTGTCTCTCATGAATAAATAAATAAAATCTTAAAAAAAAAAGAGAGACAAAAATATCTTCACATACCATGAAAATAACAGCGATAAAGGACAGAGGGAGATGTCGCTATGACCCACGTAAATTTTAAAAGCTCTGCCATTCACTCTGAGACCCACAACTATCCAAGTAAGATGATGACCAAAAATGTTTAATTCTAAGATGGAAAAAAACTTTACATTTCACCATTATTTTAAAATGTGCTAAGTGTCTGATTTAAAATACTGCAAGACTCAAAATTACAGCTTTCCAGCTCTTCTTCATTAGAAGAAAATGTCATGGTTGAAAGCCTTCGAATTTGCTGTTTGCCCACCCCTCTACATCTGTTTGAAGAGTCTTTGAAATTCTCGATGCACATCCCTACATGCTTGAAGGATTCTGTCTTTTTCCCTCTTTTCTCCTCTTGCCTTTCTATGTAGTATTCACCTGTATTAACCAAACGACAACCCCAAATAGAAACTAACGTAGGGAGGGGCGCCTGGGTGGCTCAGATGGTTTGGGCGTCTGCCTTCGGCTCAGGTCATGATCCCGGGGTCCTGGGATCGAGCCCCACATCGGGCTCCTGGCTCAGCGGGGAGCCTGCTTCTCCCTCTCCCTCTACCTCTCTCCCTGCTCATGCTCTCTCTCTCTCTCTCTCTCTGTATCTGTGTCTCAAATGAATGAATAAAATCTTTAAAAAAAAAAAAGAAAGAAAGAAACTAACGTAGGGAGCAGTTGCCAATTACTACTATGGGTTGTGAGAACACAAAATGTACATTAAAGAAAAAAATCCTCAAGTATCCTACCTAGCCTTGCTCTAGCTAAGATGTAAATGTGTGCTTCCAGCTCCCTCTGGATTTATGTTAAGTAGAAGCAGACTTTGATAAGCCAGGCAGGACACATATTTAACGGTATGTGGTAAGGACAAGGTAAGGACACGGATTAAAATCTCAAAGTCCATTCTTCTAGTTCATGAGTTATACAATAGATAATAGAAGGCTTCAGATTAATAAGCCCCTTACTAATAAGCCCCTAATTCTATGTCCTTAACCCAGTCAATTCTGGAGCAGGTTAAGTTTAGGCATTAAAAAAAAAAAGGTTTTCTTAGATATAGATTGGAAATACCTAAAATTTACTTTGATTTGGGCCACAGCCTTGTATGCTGCTTTGTAATACAAACATTCCAATATTGATGTGAATATTGATGTGATTACATTAGTTGTTTGAATATATGCCATCAACAACAAAATCAAGACTTTAATAAATCATTTTTAAGTATATTAAAATAAGCTACAAAAAAATTATAAACTTGGGGGGGGTGGCAGACAACAAAAGCAAGATCCAGCACTGAGGATTCTTTCTGTGCCCTCTGAAGCCACAAGGGTAAAAAGATGTCAAGAACGGACAGGTATGACCCTCAACGATACAGTAGCATAATGAGACATTATCTGCAGCTAGGGGCAATTTCTAATACTAACTCTTGGTAGAACTTCTTAGGGCTTGATAATAAGTTTCAATTAAAAGGTTTGCTATTCAATCAAGGAACCCAAGGCAAACCAGAAGAAAACAGGCAAGTCCCACCTTTTAGTTTCATTTCACTAGAATCATATTAGCCAGATGAAGATGGGGCCCTCATTCTCACCCATTAAAAATCCATCACTGACCCAGTGGAGAGCAAGGCGTATTTTACTAGAAGGAACAGCTGAGTCATGTCAGCATTTGGGAACACAAATCTAGTTTCAAACTAGATTTTCAAGCTGCTTGGCTTTAAAACTGAAAGGTTTTTTCTTGTCTCTAGAACTGTTTCTAGGCACATATGGAAATGTTTTTACCTCTTCAATGAACACTTTTCCCCATGGGGCTGCTTCTGGATGAGGTGAATGAGATGTGAGGAGTACATCATCGTGTGCAGTCATCACCACTCCCCAGGTGGAGAAGGTAGAGTACTACCAACTGTCTCTGCCCCAAATGCTCCCAAGGCATGGCAGGATCCCAGTCTAGCAGGCAATGTTCTGTTGCACTATTTAGACAGCATTATCCAAAGAATGACAGCGTACTGAATAGCTTTTAATAGCCCAATCATTTAAACCAAAGGCAATACAGAAATGATCATCTTTGTAACAATGACTACTCTTTTTCAAGTCTGTGACTTCAAGAGTTCCTTTTTATATATTTCAGTTCTTTTCAAAAAAACTGCTTTCATACTTTCATGTTCCTTGACACCCAGCTCTTACTGAGTCACAGTTTAGAAGTACAGATATATAAGGAAACTTGACCTTTCACAAACATATGCCATACCCTCAACTTTCCTCAGGCTCCCCTTTTAGGTGGGCCTGCCTCTAAAATGCAAGAGGCAACCTAATTAACAAATTAGATTTTACAGGTTTTGCAAAAAGAGTTCTAGAGCTTAGTCGCACAATCATGTGAATATATATATTGTTCCTGAACTGTACACTTAAAAATGGCTAAGATGCTGAATTTTACATTATGTGTTTGACCGCACTTTTAAATATATATAAATAAATAATTCTTTACTCATCTTTTAAAAAAAAGTTGATTTTACTTTAGGACTAGTACTGAATTCTATTGATTCACTTCTGCCTTCATGGTTTTAGAAAGTTTAAAACAGCTGCCTGATTCAGTATTCACTTAGTCCTCTGTATCAGTAAATTATGCTTATTATTCTTCTATAGGTACATGTAAAAAAGTTAAAAGACAAGTAACCTAAAATGACTGCTTATCAGTACCCTAATTCCTTTCCTTCCATGTTCTGAAGGTCATAAGATTTTGCCAAATCCAAAGAGATGACGTTCTACCGGGGAGAGAAAGTTGGGTTTTAAGCCATTATGGCATTCCAAAATATTTCTTTTAAACCACGAAGAGAATGTGATCAAATATAAAATATTTTTATACATACAGTTCACAACACGGTTCATAACTTGATGTTACTTTCTCTGATCCAAACACATTTATGAATAACTATAAAATATCTTGAACAAAAATTTAAAGCATAACTACAATGAAAAGATATTTTCCATAGTAATATAATCGAACAAGGGCAGACCAATAATGTCTTTTGATGGTCTTATAAGCTTCTGTTCTGGATGCCAGTGAAATTAAGAAGAGACATGTGTGATTATTAGGCTTAATGGTGGTGATTCTTTCAAAGCGGTTATTAACTATGTTTCTTTCCCCTCCTCCATTCTATTCCTACCCTTGCCATTTACAACCATTTTTAACCTGAATCTATTTGGCAATACTTTTCACCTATGGATTAAGGATTAATCATCTATGATAAATGAGAAGTAGTACTGAACATTTTTCTTTTTCCAGGTAAAGTGCACCTTCTTTCTAGTACCACTAGCTGCTATCATGTAGATCATTTTTGGGAGCCCACATAATTACCAGGAGTGTGGCCATCAATCCTCAGTCCCTGACCTTTTCCCTAGGCAGACTAATGGCCTTTTAGTTCACTTGGTCCTCACCACAGAAATGACTCTGTAGATTTCACTGGCTGTGCCAGTGGCCGTCTATCTCAATCCCTAGCTTCCGTGTCTTCTCTGGAATAGCAACTGTGAATTGCTTTCAGCTTTCAGTATGTGGCATGATACTTCTTACACCAAACTGTTGTCTTCTCTGTTATCAAATACCTCTCCATACTCCGCATCACCTCTAGAGTATTCATCCAGCCTCTTGTCCAGCCCATATTCCTACTGAAATCAGATTATGTGTAATTATAGTCCTGCTACTCAAAGTGTGGTCCATGGACCAGCATCATCAGCATCACTACCAGCTTTTTAGAAAAACAGTATTTCAGGGCCCATCCCAGACCTGTTTCATCTAAGCCTGCATTTTCACCGGATCCCTAGACCATCTGTCTGTACATTAAAACTTGAGAAGTACTGGCCCACGGTATAAACTTCTCATTGTCATGGAACCTCCACTGAATTCCACAGTGTCTCAGAAAGAAAACAACTATCTACTTAAATAATCAATACTTATCTCCAAACCCTTAGTTCTCCTTCCCTCAACTGGGAACACTGTTCAGGGTTGATTCTTTCATTTTCTTACTTTTCTATCTGAGTCACAGACAAGATCCCCACCTAAGTACAATTTAACCAAATGAAGCACTTCTGCTACTATACTCATCCTTCAGCGCACAATACAAACATCACTTCATTAAAAAAGGCCTCCCTGATCCCAAAGTAAAGACTGTTACCCCATTATATGCTCACATAGCATCCTGTACTGTAAGAACATTTAATCACGGTTATAAATAAATGTATTTTATTTAATTAACTATTTAGATGTAAAGTCCACAAGAACAAAAGAGCTGCCTATTTTGTTCCCTACTTTATCCTCAGTGCCCGGCAGAGCACCCTGCACACTACAAAAACTCAACAAATATTTGTTGAATGAATGACCTGCAATGCACAGGAGTGTTTAGGATTGACAGTAAGGCCTTTACCAGAGTACACACTTAAAATGAAGGTAGAGAAATCATGCACAGATGACTGGGAAGGGTATCTGAACAAAGCAACATCAACAAAAGAAACAAATACAGCTTCTGTTCCGAAGATTACCATGTACCTGCTCCCAATCTGCTGTGGTCTTCAATAGGAAGAAATGAATCTAATCAGCCTTGCTCTGTGCACCAGACTATCACTCCATTTGGCCTGCCTGCCACTGGCTCGGCCTGCAGTGGGGGTTCTCAAAGTGTCTTCTATTTAGCCTAACATTAAA